TGTCTAGTTTTGATTTTTTTCAGTCAACTGTTTTCGATCAACATTTGGTCTATTATTAAAAAATATCCATATTGTATATTAATTAAATAAATTAATATTTTAAAAATGTTTTATATAATAAATCTAATAAAACAAATAAATCTAATAAAACTATTTTTGTATTAATATTAAATATATTTTTTGTTTAATTAGATGTCAAAGTTTACCTATTTTGATCGTAAAAAGTCAAAAGTAAGCAAACACTCAAGAACGGAGGGAGTACTACTATACCATAATACTCCCTCCGTCCCCAATTTGATTTCAAATTCAGATTTACGAGAAGAAATATCTTACTTTTTGAAATCATTTTATTTACAAATCGGTATATCGATAAAATATAAAAAATTACATATTAAAAACTATCTCAAAAGTTCTACAAAACAAGAGGTGACAAGAATATTTTATTGTATCAAATACTTAATGAAATCGCGTAAACAAACAAAAGTTATCGAGAGGGGAGAAAAAAAATTGTAATCAAATTGGGGACAGAGGGAATAATAATAATAATAATAATAATAATAATAATAAAATAATAATAATAATAATAATAATAATAATAATAATAATAATAATAATAATAATAATGGTTGCTGTTGTAACATAGGATAGCATAATCTTTGTGTTTATAACCTTAAGCAAACATTAACCGTGTACAGCATTAATCCTGACGTTACAGCGGTAAACGAACACAGAAGAAGCATTCCGCCTAACAACGTTAGCCCACTGGGCCCCGACACAAACCGCATCTCATCTCTTCCTAACTCTCTCTCTCTCTCCTCTCTTTTTTTTTGTCATTGCGAGTATTTGAAGTCCGGCAGAATTTTATACCGGCGGAGTTTTATTCCGGCTGAGCGCGGCGGTATCAACGGCGGCGAGGATGACGGAAATCAACTGCGCCGTTTTCTGGTAGACACGTGGCAGACATGCAGGCAAAGCCTGCGGAGCATTTTCCGGTCGGGTTTAATTGACGTAACGGAAGAGATGTGGGATGGGGACACACGAAGCCCGCTGCAGACTGTAGACACGACATTTATGACGTGTGAGACTGAAATAATTTGTTACTAATTGAAAATACGGAATAAATGTTTAAACAAGAGGTCCAAGAAATTTTGTTCCACTTAAACTCCAAGTTTGTTTTGGAAATTGTACACATTTACATATAAATGGCGCCTATACTCATTCTATTTTCAAAATTTATTTCAGTCTAGTTTGGCATCATCGTTAGAAATTAGCGTTTGCGTTTTGAAAAGACTATCCGACGGTAGCCTCTAGCGTTAGTGTTTTTAGAATTAATCTACGCCGTTAATTTTTTTTCAAATCGCTAACGCTAATCGAAAACGCTCTTTCCAAACATGACCTTCTAAAGTCTCTGTGGTTTCAAAATGTTGCACTCACACCCGCTCTAATCATTTTTTGGCCATTTTCCAGTGAAGAGGTGGCATTGGTATATAATTTCTAAATCATAGGGGGTACTCGTGGTCTTTTCTTATTTTTTCGTTTATTATCTGTGTTTTTCCTTTTTTAAATATTTTCTATCTCTTTTTCCTTTTCCTATATTTTTTTAAAATTTCTTTTCAATTTTTTAAAATGTTTTTAAAATTTTAAAATTCTTTGTGTTTGAAACAAAAATATAAAAAAATAACAAACATTTCATCTATCTCAAATTAAATATTTTCATTTTTTGTTACATAGAATATGTTTTTGAAAATTTCAAAAAGAAAATCTAGAATAAAAAATAAAAATATGGAAAAATGAAATGAAAAAAATTGAAATACGCAAAAATTAGTCTTGTACAAAAAACAATTTTCGGACACGCCTAAAAAATTTCTTAGAATTGAGATGTCCAAAAAAGATTTTCATTTTTATTTTTGTATTATTTTGTTTCTTATTTTATTCCTCGTATTTTTGAATTCTCAAAAAAAAAAATTGGAAAAAACAAAAATTGTTAATTTAAGACTGCATTATATGTTAATTTTTTCAAACAAAAATAATTTCAAATTTTAAGAACAGTATAAAAATAATTTTAAAAAAACCTTTATTAATACTCCTTGGAGTATTAGTGTATATCTTTGGTGTAGGTTTGAGGTACACTCCTTGGTGTAATTGTAGCATGGTTGAATTTTTTAGTCGGGGTAAAAGGATAATAGAATAATTTTTCTTTACTTTATTTACAGATACAACCTTAATATTTTCTCTGTTCACAAAATAAAAACTTTCCAATTAATTAGTAAACTAAACTTTTGATTACTTTTATTTATTTGATAATTTAATAAAATAAAGTATTAATGTCATTTTTTTATTTTATATAACTATTGACATATTTTTGAAATATGTGTAAATGTGTAATGTATACTTTTTTTCAATAACAATATAATTAGTAAATAAAATGCTTTTAAAATATACGAGCTTTTGCAAGTTGTTCAAAACAAAAGTTCTTTAATTTTATCCATCACATCTTACTTTTATTCATAGCATTGCATCAAAGACAAAATTAAAAACTCAACCATAAATATACATTCTTTATTTTGACTAAAAGTCAAAATAGGAATGATTTATTGAAATGGAGAGAGTATGTAGTAGTATAAGAGTTATATTATGTAGTAGTAGATGTGGTTGAAGCATGATAGTAGAGACGTAGAGTGGTCGGTATTTGAGAGAAATATCAGATTATCACATTAATGTCTCTCAAATTTAGAAGATTTCAAAACCCTAACTTTTACAATGATTTTTATATTTAAAAGCGGTGTAAATTCCACTAAACGTAAACATTTTTGATATCTGAAGTTTTTTTTTCCCAAAAACATATATGAATATATTAAATTCATATGTCATTTGTTCTTCAAACACGTTTTAAAGTTATTGTTAAGGTGCGTGTAATGTAACAAACTTTGTAATATAAGTTCACCGTTTACCATATTAAGAAACAGGTCGCGTGGCCTAATGGATAAGGCGCTCGCCTCCGGAGCGGGAGATTGTGGGTTCGAGTCCCACCGTGATCGTTTTTTTACCTGCTGATTTTCTTTTTAATATTACAATTAAATAAGTAAGGCTTTAATATGGAATATGAATACAATAAAATTTTGATACCTTCTATATTGATTATTTCTTCCGATTGATTCCCTTTATTACACATAATGTCTTAATATAACTATATAAGTATAATAATATCAAATTTAATTTATAAATAAATACTCATGTATTTTTTCTAGAATTTGTCATGTTTGTGACCAAAAAAGTTATGTTTGGACAATCACTTTGACACACAAAGAGACTACATACGGAGTATTTGTTAAGGGTCTCATCATGAACTGTTTACTCTGTCGATTATATTTAATTTTTATCACGAGTTAAATAAAGTTTTAAATAAATAAATATTACAAAATTTGCTATATCAGATTGAAATCATAAAATAATACAAAGTGAATGTTATAATAATTTCATATATTCCGTATTAAAATTAAAATTTAACATAAGCATAATGATATCAGATTTACTTTATAAGCATAATTTTTTTTAATTAAAAAAATAAAAAAAATTATGTGAAAAAGTCCACAAAAATTATATGCATCCAATGTGCACAAAAGAAGCACACGGAAAGATTACAAATTGATTTAGGGTGCCACCATGTTCATTTTTATTCTCTTGACTATCTTTAATTGTTTATCACAAATTAAATAAAGTTTTAAATAAATAAATCTTATAAAAATTTTGATATAAAAAACATTTTTTCTTGTTGATTCTCTTTCTCATCACGAATTAAATATAGTTTTAAAATAATATGAAGTAAATGTTATAAAAATTTAATAGTTCCGTATTAAAATCAAATACTCCTTATTAAATAAGCTTAATTATATCAAACTTATTTTATAATTAAATGTATTTATTATAAAATTTTTAATCTAAGTGACTAAAAAAATCAAGTTAGAACAATAACTTTGAGACATAGAGAGTACCAGTATATAAAGGGTCTGTGATGGGTTTTACTTTGTTGATTATCTTTAAATTTTTATCATAAATTAAATAAAATGTTGATTAAATAAATATTATAAAAATTTGAGATATCGAAATTACATCCTAAAGAAAATATGGTCAAATTTAGATTATAACTCCCTATATTTTTTCTATAATTTATTGTCAAAGTGATTAAAAAACTAAATCTAAAACATTAATTTTAGTAGTGATACATAGTATAACATAAATTTGTTACAGAATAAGGACTACAAAGCTTTCTATGGTATGATGATCCAGAATAGGCCCAATACTGAAGCGCGCAAGCCCAAAAAATATTAGTGTAGAACTATACCATCTTCCCAATGGCCCTTGGTCCAATATATGAATGATAATGGGCGTGATTGGATGAAGTCATGAAACTTCACTCTCATTCATAGGATTATTTTATATTTCGTGAAATTTGCACTGAATATGACTAAAACATAAGTCATTTCTCAATATAGGACTTAAACTTTTTTATTCCCTAAATAGGATTTAATAATAACTAGTAAGAAGAATAATGTCCAAGCGATGTTGGACATTTAGTTGAATAATGACTAATTGGATAATGAGAAAGTCATTTAGTCTTATATTGAGAAAGTCATTATGTTTTAGTCCTATTTAGGTAAATTACCCTTATATTTCTCGTGTTAGAAAGAGGTTGAACATGGTAGGCGTAGAGATCCTATGTTTAACGTAGTTGTCTCTATCGACCGGTGCAGTTGTTAGTAACGAAACATAAGTCTATTTCTTTGGCATTATTGTCTTTGCAAACTGTGCAACGTCCACTGACATATTCATGAGCTGTTAGAGGACACATACATACTCGTAATCCACTATCGAGATCATCATCAAACTTGGGTATATCTCCTTAGCGTTTATTTTTAGAACTTTTTTTTAAACATAGCGCAGGTCCCGGCCTTAAGACTACGAGTATGTATGTATCCGTCTGAAAGGACAACACTGATTTTCACAATGTATAGTATGTATTTCCAAATCACTTATTTTACTTCCACGAAGCAATATTTGGCTTCCAAATAGTTTATTAGTTAAAAAAATATTTATCAACAATGAGCTAATAAATACCAGCACAAAGTGTGTCCTGCCACACACATAATTTATAGATATGCCCTAATATGGATATGATTTTAAATAAAGATATGTGTAATTAATTGAACAAATTGTAAATTGCCTATTTCAATCACAATTTTCATCTTCACTTTCTACTCTTCAATATTTCTATCTTGCGAACTGACCCCACAAATGTCCTGAAATAAAAATCAAATGGGATCAAAAAAAAATTATTTAAGTAATATTTAGCTGTTTTTAGAACTCAAATTAAATACTTTTAACCTTTTTCTTTACAAAAGAAATAAATATATATACTCACGTCCATGGAACATCACCAGCAACCATCCAGTCTCCTTTTTTGTGTTGGTACAATATGGTATAACCCCTTCCATTTTCGTCACAATTTCGATCTGTTATATATATATATACACCCCAAATCATATACGCATATAGATTAGAACTATTTTCTTAAACACTGATAACTCTATTACAATATATATTCGAAATAACTAAAATGACATGCAATCAATTTTCTACTTTAAATTACTTGTAGCAATTGGGTATTTTTATTTACTAGCAAAATGGTGTGAAAAGGATTATTAAGGGAATTTTTAAACTAACGATAATTTATATCCTTAAATATCATACAATAATATATAAATAAAATAAAATTAAAAATAGCTCTGATCAAACATCATTATTTGTGTGTCAAATTTGTTTGGGGATGGAGGGAGATATTATGCTTTACAAAAGGAGATATGATAATAATTAAGTTTGAAAAATAACTTAAACAACTTACATCTTGCAAACATGTTGATCAAGTGGTTGGTGAGAACTTGGTAAGAATGATAGAGACTTAGATCAACTTTTCTCCCAATGCCCACACCCTCCATCTTCACCTTCACATATGTAGAGCTTTTCCCACCATTATTACTATTATTATTATTATTATTATTATTGTTGTTGTTGTTGTTGTTAAATCTTGCATTATTTGCCACAAACACCCACCCACCCCATTGGTGCCCCTGCTGCTCATGTAGAGCCCTCTTCCTCCATGATCTTATGGGTGGCCACCCCACTATTGTGCTTTCTTCCTCAAACCTCCTACCATATCCAAATAAAGATTGTTAAATTTGATCATCTGAATAGAAAATAAAGATATTTTTATGAAACAAATGAAGTACATAGATCATCAACTAAATATAGAACTGACAAATCGATTAGTCAGGTCAGGTTAGGGTTCAAGTTACATTTAATTCGAATAAGTTCAAATTCGGGTTCTGCTCTTGACCACCTAGTGTCATCGAGTTTCGATTAATCCAACGAATTATTACCTTTATTTTTTAATTTTTTTCACTTTCTATTTTTGGGCGCGTCAATTTTCTATCCTTGTGGAGTATTTAATTTGTCATTTTCTTAATTGATCAAATTTGAATCAATATGTCAGAATTTCGTCCGATGCAAATAAAAACAATTAATTGAAAAGATTTTTTTTGAAGAAATTGGTGAAAAGGACTTAGAATCTACTCTTCAAACTCAAAACTATAGGGAGTATAAATTATATATGTGCTAATGTTTTATTTAAGTTAATTTAATTTATTTAAATATTTAATTAAAATCTAAATATAAAGTTCATATATGGAGTATTTAAAAATCAAGAGTACATCAAAACTTTCATGGAGTATAAAATAAATAGTAACAAGATTATTTTCTCATCACAAAAAATTTAAAGTAAAAAACGATAAACTCTTTCCCTCTCGTGCCAATTTAGACAATTTGACTTCATGTAGATTAAAAAATGTTCAAAAATAAAAAAAGTAAACTTTTTAACACAGCACTAATAAGAAAATATGGAATTGGAATTGAGGGCAATAATTTCAATTTTGTTGTTTGGAAGCAAAAAAATATGTAGATTTAGATTAGTAGTACCAAAAGTAAATTGGAATTGAGGGCCCGTTTGTTACACGGAATTCAAACTATGGAATTGGAAGAATTCAATTTCTTCCAAATCAATTACATAGAAATTCAACTCTCAATTCAATTCCAATTCCGTCAATTCCGTGTACCAAATTGACCCAAAATTCTTTACTTTCAAAGACCAAACATGGACCTACCCAAAAACCAAACTAAACGTGACAAAAATAAATAAATAAGTTAAATTATACCGTAAAAAGTAAAAAAAAACATTGTGCTCGAATCCTATAACTTTAATAGTAATACTTCCTTCATTTCATAAACTTTTTTTCACTTTTCTTTTATAATTGTCTAGAAAAAGATTTACTTTTAAAAAAATGTAACTATGATAGTTTTTCTCTTCTTTAAAACTACAAGGTAGTGTTGTTGTTCTTAGAGTTTTTTCACTCTTCTTTACACCACATATATATATATTTCAAAGGCTCATAATTATTTTTTTTTAAATTCACCTAAATAAAAGTAGAATAGTAGCATTTATTCTCAAAATAAGAATTTCACGTTTTTATTCACAAAATAAGAGTTTGCAGTGTGACGTTACTATAGTTTCATCTTACCATATTTTTGGTACTATATTGTATATTGGCATTATACTTTTATTTTGAGACTAAAAAAACAGAGCTTTAATTTTGGTAATTTCTACAAGTTTGCTCATAATTTAGTCATTTTTTTACAAGGCTTGCTATAAATACTAATTTAATGTATTTTGGCCTTCTTTGGGAGCAACGTTTTCGATTAGCGTTAACATTTTGGATAATATTTTAATGGTTAGATTAATTCTAAAACGCTAACACTAAATGCTACCGTCGGATGATCTTTTCAAAACGCTAACACTGATACCAAAGAAGTCGGAAGTCTATAAAATGACCTAAAGAAAACGAAAGAATTTGCCAATGGGAGGAACAAAGTACCAATTCAAGAAAGGAAAAAAAAGGGGGGAAATTAAAAAGTACCTTTGATGAACAAGGCAATTCCTCAACTTCTCTGCGCCATTTCCATCGTCGTCCTCGTCATCATCTCCCTTCCCGCCCCATCGAAACAGAGCAAGCGTTCTCTTCTCCGGCCGCCCGGAGCTCTCAGACGCCGCCTCATCGAAACTCCGTTTCTTCTTCTTCCTCGTCATCTCCATCTCGGCCTGGTTCTTCTCCGGCCCGGATTTGTCGCCGCCGTTCAAGTCAGAATCTCCGGTCATGTCCAGGAAACCATGGGACGCCGGAGCCAGACCGAGCTCGAGTTCCATTTCAGTGATCAGATGAGATCTCTCTGCAACTTAAACTCAGAGATATATAGATATGAATATGCTTTTAATATTTGTGTGTGTATATATATACATACATATACATATAGAGAGAGAGAGAGGGGGGGAGGGGAGGGAGAAGAAGAAAGAAGAAAAGTAGGATTGAAGTTGGGGGGTCGGGTAAAGAGTGGCAAAAAGAGGGACATGTCAGAAAAGGGTGTTTTGGGCATGTTATATATGAAGGGAAAAACTTAAGGCTACTCCAAGTTTGTGTATTTAAGCGTATACCAGATTCTCACAGACACACCGTTTGTGTTATTAGACCGATCATGAGTTCGGGTATCCGACTCGATCCGATAATAAGTTCGCTCAAAAAATGCGGGCTTGGGGACGCGAGTTTTAGCATTCGGCTAGTCGGCCTGTAAATTTCGGGTACTCGCAAGTGTTACGGGCCGGGCTCGAACATAAATCAGGTCTATGTGTGATACACAAACAGTTAACGTCTGTGAGAGGTTTACTACCTTGGAGTACACCTACCAAACCCAATGTATGAACTTTAGAAGGGATTTCATTCTCTTTCTCGTCTCAAATAAAATGTTATATTCCCTTCGTCTAAATTTTTTTTCACGATTTTACTTAACACGGAGATTAAAAAAATAAAAAGTGTAAAAAATTTTCATGTGTTGTCATTGATATGATGGAATAAAGTGAATAGTATAAATAAAAAATAATCACATATGATAATCCCGACCATATTAGTCATATATCATACTCCGTAAATAACTTATTTTTAGATAAAAGAAGTATGTGTGTGTCTATATATATATATATATATATATATATATATATATATATATATATATATATATATATATAGACACACACACAAACACACATACATATATACATACATACATACATACATACATACATACATACATACATACATATATATATATATATATATATATATATATATATATAGAGACACACACACATACACGGAGTATATAATTTTTAAAAATATTTATACTACTGGTTCGATCGCCGGTCCAATTCTGAAAACTAGGGTATAAACTTAATGTGAAAGAAAAAGTACCCACTATAAACTTGATTTTGTGAGGTAACAAATGTATGATGCTACAACGGCATGGCCCACCTTGTCTGCCTCATGTCATGTACACTTGTACCAAACATAAACAAAGAGAAAGATAAAAAAAGGAAAAAAGAAAAAAGAAAAAAGAGAAGAAACTAAATTTAAAGTCATTTGGAGTGGAGGATGTACAACTTGTAACTTTGTAAGTGACTTCATAGCCCACCTTTTGTTTATACTAAACCCCTATTCTTGTGATTATAAATCTTTATGCAATTAGCAAGACAAGAAGTACCAAAAGATAAGATTCAAGTTCAATTTTTGAGAACTGTATTCGAAGATAACTATGTCAAATATAAAGTCTCTATAAGTAGTAGGTGCATGTTTCATTTTCTGTCACTAATCTGATCAAAGTCCAATTTAACTCCCATGATGATTCTCGGGGATACACTCATCCTTTTTTTTAGTGCTATTCTTTTTAAAATGACAAATTATTCCCTGATCATAAACATTCCTCATTTTATAGATTTTAATACATAAAATGATTATTTATAGTAGGTATTGTAATTATTTAGTGTTTGACGAAATGTACTTTCGAGGTATATTATCACAGATTTTAGAGACCCCAAATATATTTTAAATAATGTAAGACATGAAAGTTCTTGCAAAAAATCGAGAGGACTCTAGAGTAAACACAATCATTTATGTTATCTTCCAGGCAAAACAAACGCAACCTTAAATCCTAAACACCATTATAACAATGCTTTCAATTCGATTTGACTTAATTGAGAGTTTAAAACCGTTGTTAATTACCGCGTACAAGGGCAAAACCGCAAAAGCCGAAAGCGATAGAACCCACCATCATGGGTTGAAATGTGTTAAATATACTTCATCCATGTCCACTGAATTATTTTATTTTGAATAACGTGTAAAATTGCACTTTTTTAAAATATAATTGCAACTCTCTTTGATATTATATTATAAACAATGCGTAAAATATTTTTATTTTTAAAATTATTTTCATTATAGATTGGCATGAAAATAAAAATTATAAATATCACTGTTTAAAAATACATCAAAAGTTTTACAAAATAATATGTGATAAGAATATTTTATTTTATCAAATATTAAATGAAAATTCACAAACAAACAAAAGTTATTGACCAACCATAATAATTACAATGGCATCTATTTAAGTACGGAGGATAAAATTTAGTGCGGAGTATAAAGATAAAAAATAAATCTTACATATTAAAAAAATATATGGAAGTTTTACAAAAGAGTTATGCTAGGGGTAAATGGTATACCCCATTTATACACCACCATTCTTTACCATACATTTTTTTAATAAACACAAAAAATGTAGTTTTTTATCAACACAAAAATATTTTATGAAAGAGACGTAATATTTTATTTTATTAAATAATCAAAGTAAAAACATACCAAATAAAAGTTATTGACGACCCGAAATAGTAAAGAGATCAATTATTTTGTAACATGAATTGAAAACTCGTGATGATATTAATTGTTTACAAAAAAATTCTTTTTTCTATTCATAATTTCTTTTTGTTGTCCAAATTAGATACTTCGTAATAATGATACTCAAACACCAACGTGAGAGGAAATTTTCACGAATAAAATAGAGTATTTTTAGTAATAGACTTACTCTGTATAATATAATTGGCTCATAGTTAAGCCAGAGGCTACACGTTGTTTCGTGCACATTTGCACGGTAGACCTAACACATAAGACCATGAGAGGTGTAACATAAAATCAATTAGCGATAAGTTGAGAGACTATGAAATTTACACGATGTAACATTTTTTTGTTCTTTTTTCTTGTGTGGGACCAAACTTCCAACAACTACTAACCTCACCATTATAAAATCAGTTTTTTAATACTCAACTTGGAACATTTTACTCCATCATCATCATTACTTTGTAATTACCCAAAGTGTATTTGAGTAATAGTTTGAACTTTGAAAGTAATACACGGAGGAGAATATATATTTATCATGTGGTATATATAGAGCACTTAAGCATGAAGTGAGATTTTTAATGAATTGGTGTTAAATACTCCTTTCGTCTCAAATTATATATTTGTGTTTTTATAAATACTTGATAAAATAAAATATTCTTGTCACTTTTTGTTTTGTTGAATTTTTGATGTAATTTTTTAATATGTAATTTTTATTCCTTATTGATGTACTAATTTATAAATACAATAATTTCAAAAGATGTGAGATTTTGTTTTGTAACTCATAATTTGTAATCAAATTAGGTACTGAGAAAATAATTAAATTGGTGTAGATTCTTTTTGTCGGATTTTAGTTTAACATATGTGCACTATGATTATTAATTCGTGATGACCCGTGGACAAAGCAACCAAAGACTTGTGACTCTGTTTGTTGAATGTTTCTTTTTTTTTTTTTTGCTGCTTTTATTCGCAATTTTTTTTTTTAATTTAGAAAACTCCTTTTTGTGAATTATATGATTCAAGAATTGTTTTATTCTTGTTTTAAACTTTACATGTAAAATATTCTCACAATTTTTCTAAGAATTTATAAATGGATATATCTCTTTTTACAAGACCTAATTAAATGCAATTATTTTATGTATTAAGGGTTATAAAACGAGTATAGCAGATCACCAAATAATTTACCATAAATCAAATTAAAGCACCATAGAGTTGAGAGCATTCGTCCATAAATCTACGGGAAAAAGATAAAATAAGAGTAAAACATTGAAAATGTACCAAAATAAGACTTTCATATTTTTATTTCCGAAATAGAAGTTAAAATGCATTTATATTACCCAACATGGTCATGCACATTACCAAAAAGTATAGTAATGTGCACATGTAGAATGTCACATTACCACAATGCGAAGTCTTATTTCGGGAATAAAAACAAGATTCTTATTTAATACTTTTCTATATGTTTTAGTCTTATTTAGATTGATTTCTATAAATCTACTTGTGCCTGTCACACAAACTTGTCTTCCTTGATGAGAGACTCTAATAGACTTTGAATAGTCTGTGGGCATTACGCAATTAGCAAGACAATGAGTGCCAAGAAAGTAAGATTCGAGTTCAATTTCTAACAACTGTGCTGGAAGGCAACTATGCTAAGCATAGAGCCTCTGTAGGTATCAGGTACAAGCTCTACTCTTTGTCACCAATTTGCGATTAAAGTCCTATTTACCTTCTCTCAGTGACCGTCCGGCCGAGTCTGAGGAGGTCATCAGAGATGAGGCTCGTTCTTTTTTCTAATAGACTTTGATGAGTACATATAGACCTCTTTTCTTTACGGGAGATCTTATACTTCGTATATCTAGTAGATTTAAAAACTAAATTCAATAAATGTTTTTTTTATTATTAAGTAAATGTTCATTATTTTTACCTTAACACTATGTTTAATACTTTAATTCAAGAAATTTAAAAGAGAAAATAAAAAAAAGTAAGATGAAAAACAATTTTTTATGTTTGATTAGAAAGAAAAAGAAAAAAAGCAGCATCCCATTTAATTGTTTTTTTATTTAAAAATCTCAAGTAATTGATAAAATCCATTTCATTTGTCCATATTTCATTCTACGAAATAAAAAAGTACTTTTCAGATATTAAAAGCGCACATGAAGCACAATCTATCAATTCGTTGCTGGCTTTAATTTTTCTTGAATTAACAACATAATAATTATAAGATGGTAGAAGAAATGTCAATTCCTTTTTCCATTCTTGTGCACACATCTCTCAATGCTTTCTTATTTGTTTGAGAGCTTTATTATGACCATTTTGCCTCAAAGGAAGTGAAACTTAATGACTCCCTAATCTCCCACTCTCTTCAAAATTTAACTTCAGACTTTGCCCATGTCTAAATTGTCCAAAATTGCTATCTAGACTTTTTGGAGTGAGGTGTGTTGAGCTACATACTTTTGTAAGTCTAATAAAAAAATTATTCGGAGTGAAATGTAATTTCTACCCTCAAGACACGAGTAATATGTTTTTGTCTCCAAAGTATAGAACTATTGTATTGTAACAATACGATACTGTAAAAGTATTTCGCAATATTTTTTGGTATTATATGTTTGCATTATTAGCCTTATAGTCGTTATAGGTCAAATTTTGGCTTCATAGCATGTTCTCATCAATTTATTCTTTCTATTTATTATTTATTTTTATTGGAATCAGATCATAAATAGAATTTAATCAAATTAGATCAGATGCAATCCGATAAGTTGTAGAGAACAACCCTTGAGTTTATTTCATAGATCCTAGATAAAATTGTTCGGTATTTTATCTTAAAAAAATTAAAACCAAAACATATGCAGCTTTGATAGTTTGAAATTTTTAACCAAAACATATCTAATAAAAAATAATTTATAACTTCGAATTTCCTTTGTTTAGAGAGAGAGAGAGAAAAAATTAGTCTAAATTTTGTTTTAAAATTATAAAATATGTACTCCATAGTTATAAGTTTGAAAAACAAAACCAATAAGTATGAAAGAAATACCCCAAAAGTCAAATAAAAAAGTTAAATCTAAATGAAGGGATTTTTCATAAAACTTTACACTGATTTTAAACTGAGGAATTTGAGATTCGTCCAAACTTGTAGAGGATGATAGAGATAAATACAATACAACCATATACTAACGAGCGTCAATCGCCGGATTATGTTTTTAGTGTTATTAACTCAATTGTAATATTATATATGTCCATATTTTGTTAGCCCAATAGCGCATAAAAAATCATTACTTCTGTGTCCGTTGCGTCTCAAACTTGGGTGAGCCTCTGCTTAAATATGTTAGTTAGTGTATTTAGCTAATATAGTGTTGTAATGATATAAACAAGTATTTCAAAAAAAAAAATCTAGCTATAACTAATTCAAAAATCTTAGCTACACTAATTTGCACAATTGACATGGTGTGATATGGCCCGTCAATGTCTACATCTAATTAATTTTAATATGCTTTCTAATTAATAATAATTTCTAATCAAGATCATACTCTAAAAAAACATAAGCTATTCATTTTCAATGCTTGGCCAAAAACACACTACTATACATCTTTTTCTTTATGTGTCCTCCATGGACATGAGATGGTCCCTTAGCCTAGCTTGAGCTTATGATAGTAAAGGTCCCCAACATCAACTCCTACCCCCCTTCCTTATTTAGCACACCTAATTAGGACCCATTTTTTCTAATTTATTTTTCCTACTTATTATTTATTAAAATTATATCAGATTAAATAAATCTATTTTAGATTAAAATATTAAATCTATTTATTAAATCTATTAATTTATTAAAATATATTTATTATAATAATAAATCTATCTTAGATCTCATTCATTTAGATACAAATAATAATAACAATAATTTATATTATTATTTATTACTATTATTGTTGTTGTTATTGGTATTATTAGTATTAGTATTATTGAAATAATAATAATAATAATAATAAAATTCATAATAATAATACTAATAATTAAAAATACTAGTAACAATAAACCATAATGATAATACTAGTCA